CTTTGATAAATTCATAATGATTAAAATAATAGTTTTCCACTCCAAACTCGCAGAACATAATATTACATTTGAGGTCTGTATACCTAATATATCTACATACTCGTACATACAATATGATATACATACAAATTTTTAAGAATCGTGTTCTTTCATAATGAAGTTTCATTAAATTTCATTTGAATTTTGGCAAAATTCCATCTAAAAATAAAATTGCAAAGGTTTTACTTAGATTTGTTTTTGTTCTCATTGAAATTATGCAATGTTTTCTGTAAATCTTAAATTGTTATAAAATGCAAAACTATAAATTGTTTAATAAAAATAATTATTCTATTTAAATTAAAAGTATTGCATAATTTTCAATCCGTTTAGAGTCGACAAAATTTTTAGAAAATTACAAACGTAAACTAATTGTCCTATACACACTTAGATATTGTCAATAGGAAAATAAAATAATCACTGAACGAGCGAGTGTACGAAACGTTTGAAAAAAGGGGTGTACCCAAATGGATTTTAAGATGGAACGAATTAAATTATGAGGTACGAATTAAATTAGAATTACGAATAACGAATGAAATTAGAGTCATATTGGCATGGAAAAGTATTTACACCAAAAAACTTACAATATTTTGCTATTAACTAGTGAACTAGAGCATGACTCAACTATAAATCTCTTTACTTTAATTGTTGCTGCTACGTTACTCCGCCCAAAACCTCAGTAAACAACTTTAAAACTCAAATGAAATAAAAATTTTCTAATTTTCTCATTTAGAAAATTAAAAAAATGGTATAATACTAAAGATGAAAATTTTAAATAAATTTTTGCCAGATAGAACTCCTGCACATTTATTTAATAAAAAATGTAAAGAAAAACTAGAATGATGCCTTCATCATGAGAGCAAAAAAGGAACAGAATTTTTTTTCTACAAATTTTTGTATTTAATTTAATTCTCATTAACAAAATTGCAATACCAAAATTTAAAACTCTAAAACATCTGGTATTTTTCTGAAAATTATACATTTTATTTTCGAAAATAGAAAGCAAAAAAAAAAATTAAATTTAATTGAAGAAAAATTATAAAACTGCGTTTTTTCTTAATTTTAAGAATGAAATTCTATATTTAGGTTATAGCAAATTGTATACATTTTAGTAGCTCTGAGATGCCAAATTACTTTAGTCATGCAACACACCACATTGTTGTGTATGGCAACATTATTATTATAATACAATGTGCATATAAGGTATACACTGTGCATGAATCTAGAGAATTGTTATGTAAGTGTACTCCATAGATAATCATCCTCACCTCACTGATGGGTCCAAATTTTGAATGGGTGGAGAATTTGAAAAAGTTTATCATTAACACATGATATTTAATATTATTTTATCTACATAAATTTTATATATACATTTTCAAATTTTTTGAAGGAGGGTAGGGGGAACGAGCCTACTATAGGCAAGTTAAGATTTAAAATAAAAACATATTTACTGTTGATTTTCTTGTTTTTATAGAAGTTTGGAAAAATTTATAATTTCCAAAAAATCAAAGCCGAAAATTGTCCGACTTTTGGTTCCCAATATAAAAAGTTTCATTACAGAGCCTTAAAAAATTTTTAGGAGTACCTAGTTACGAGTGAAAAGTAACGGGTATTTATCAGTAAAATAGCGAGTATTCTTGAATACCACAAGGTAACTGGATTGCACATCCCTGTATTATGTTAGAAACTAAATTGAAATGAAAGCCATTTTCGTGTGATAATATAAAAATTTTGCGCAAACGAAAGAAAGTTTCGCTATCGCTCATCAATTTTAAATAAATTTACTTTATTTGATTCTGGCATTGAATTTGATTACTCACGTGTTTTTCTTGTATCAAATCGTGTTTATCAAAATTTTTATCAAAAATGTTATTCAAACATTTACCTGTTCACATGATCAATTAAATTGAAAAGCACCTACGTACATACAAATATTACTTGTACATTTGTGATATATATACACATTGGCATACAAGATTTGTAACTGTGTATGCTTGTGTTTTTACTTTTACATAATATTTGTGGACTAATTGCATTGAATAATCTGGTTGATAAAAAAAAAATGAAAAAAAACTGAACAACGCATTGAATGCTTCCACTTTAATTGAACGATTGAATTTTAAATTAGAGTATTTGCGTCTACACTATTTGACGCAAGTTTATTGTTTAATAATTATTATTTAATTCTAAATTAAGCAAAAAGGTATAACAAAATTAAGATTTCATTTAGAAGACTGAATACTCGTACTTAAGACTTTTTAATAATTAGAAATACAATATTGAGGTTGGAGTGATGATGCTAACCTAAAAAATCTATTCTGACCCCGACCTAAAAAATCTATTATACCAAATAGAAATTCATGACAAGATCTACAATTTTATCACGCATATGTTTAATTTATTTTTATTTTGTACAAAATATATAAGCATACTGTGAACCAAAGTGCGTCAATAATAATTAGTGCATTAGGCTAAAGAAACAAATTAGACTAATAAGAATTGACAATTCGAAGGAACATTATGCGATAATATTTATACCGCAATAACAATCACTATAATAACAGGTATGATGATAACCATAATCATTTTATCAAAAATTTAAGCCGTGAAAAAACAAATTGCCTTGTTTATTGAAATCTCGATTAATTACGAAATATTAATTACGGTGTTAAACAAATTTGATTTTCTTCAAATTTCACAAAATTAATTAATTTTTGCTTGCATACTATATACAGGTAAGTGTATACTATAACAGAATTTTAAAAAATACCGTAAGATTTAAAGGAATTATTACCGACCGTATTGTGTATACAATAGGTAGGTTATGTGATGGCGACAAATTTTGCATATCGAGTTTTCGGTGGGAGTACACTTCTCCATAGTAGGGAAGCGTAAGTAAACTATTTTTAGCAACCTGTCGGTCCGTCGGTCTGTTGGTCTGTGTGTGCACCAGTGTATCTCAAGTTCTGCTGAACCGATTTTAATGAAATCTTATATGTAAGTTTACTTCCACCATGGCATGGATTGATCAACTTTTGGGATATATCAGGCCTCGGGAACTGCACTTTTTAGCGGGCCTCTTTTACGTTTTTGAACATTTTGACGAAAATATTTAACCGATTTACTTGAAATTTCATATATGAGCTTTACTCGACCGTCCGCACAAAATCCTAACTTTTGGAAGAAATCAAGCATCAGCAACTGGACGTTTACTACGGGCCAAACATACACTTTTGTGTATATAGAGAAATAATCAACCGATTTCATTGAAATTTGATATATGAATTCCTCATATTAAAGCAATGAACATATTAATTTTTTGGAAAGATCAGGGCTCGAAAACAGATTTGCGGTCCGATTTTACATTTTTCACCATTTTGAAGAAACTATTATTCCGATTTATTTGAAATTTCATATATAAGCGTTACTCGATCGTACGCAAAAATTCCTGACTTTTGGAAGAAATCAGGCATCAGCAACTGGACGTTTACTACGGGCCAAATATAAATTTTTGTGTATATAAAGAGAAATAATCAACCGATTTTATTGAAATTTAATATATGAATTCCTCATATTAAAGCAATGAACATATAAATTTTTTGGAAAGATCTGGGCTCGAAAACTGATTTGCGGGTCGATTTTACATTTTTCACCATATCTACGGAACGAATTGATGAAATTTCTTGAAATTTGATATATGAGTTCTGGTTGTTACCGAAACTAACTGGCGATCATTTCAGGGAATTCGGGTAGCCCAAAGCGAAACTCTACTAAGAGCCAAATTTACATTTTTCTAAGTATGTTAACTATAAGCTTACTAATGTCCTAAAAATTGGAAAGAAGTATTTAACAGACATTTTTATAATATTCTGTAACACTTTCATTTAACTAGACAATATACAATGCGGTCGGTTATGTGCTGACCACATCAGATTTTTATTTAATTATAAAATAATTTCATAATGTATTATAAATCTTTCAATTCGTTTATAATACAAACATAAAAACACAATGACCAAATCGATTGGCATTGTTATAAGTTGGAAGTTGTATCTTAACTTGCCTGTGTGATTAAATTGCAAACAGTTTAAACTTCAGCATTTACTGATGACTTCTTATAAAGATTGTTAAATAAACGGCTTCTGTAACATTTTTATAATTTTGAAAATTGTCATAAATATCCTATAGTAAGCAAAATAAATTTTATCTATCCTTGTTTTTTTTTTTTATTTAATTATTTTTGAAAAATTCATCAATAGCGCAATGTAGTTAACAATAATTTTTGATAAGAATTTCTTCAGTTTATCAAATTACATACAACCTTTAAAGATAAGAGATGACAAGAATAATGAATGTGCAAAAGTTACCAAGTATAAAAATTTTCCAGAAATTATAATTGATTCCAAACTAAGTTAAGGTATGAAAACTATTAAAGGTAAGACATTTAAATACATGAAAAAAATTTCAATTTTTTAATAATAAACAAGAAATTGCAATTTAGTTGGAAATATTTTTAAACACACTCTTAATTTACTTGAAAACTTCGATAAAATTATTTTAACCAGGCAAAAAATTTTTCTTAAAAACATGTTGTATTGCAAGTTCGTTGTGTTTGGTAATTGGAACTGTGGACCTAATTAGTTTTGCTTTAAAAATTGCATCATTTTGATAGCTAATCGTTGAAAAATTAAAACAATTTATCTTGCCATCTTACTGGTTGACTGTTATGTCAATGGTTGACTGCAATGTTACACCAGTCAACCCAATCCTCAAACTTCATGCTCTTCACTGATAAATACAAACATATTTCTAATATACAATAGAATTATTAGGTGACACTTTATAAACGTTATTCTCAAATTATAATGTCTTACGTTGATTATATTCGATTTGAAGAAAAACTTTTGTTTTAATTCAATTCGGTATAAAAGTAAACAATTTGTATGAATTAAAGTTTAGTCGACATGATTTCGCTTATAAAGTTCATATTTAGTTTTTCATTAGCACATTTATGTGTTGCTTACATCGATACGGTACCATTTAATTCAAATTTAAAATTTTCTGGACGTATTGTCGGCGGACAAGATGTTACAGATGGTTTAATACCATGGCAAGTATCATTAGTACATTTCGGAAGTCATTATTGTGGCGGCTCAATTATCAGTCCAAAAACAATTGTAACGGCAGCACATTGTTTAGATACCATAAATAAAAATTTTTTAAAAGTACGTGTTGGAACAAAAGATCGTTATGGTTATGGAATGCTTTTACAAGTTGAAGATTTTAAATTACATGAAAATTTTTCAAGATCAACGTATCATAATGATATCGCTTTAATATATTTAAGAAAAAGATTACAATATGTTCCATATAAAATTGAACCAATTGCTTTAGCAGAACAAAATTCATTTGTTAAAGATGGAACAATGGCAATGGTTAGTGGTTGGGGCGTTTTAAGACATAATAGTAATATAGTGCCAAAAATTCTTCAATATGTTATGGTACCAGTTATAAATCGTGAACAGTGTAATAGACTTATGAATAATTTAGTATCGGAAAGACAAATATGTGCTGGTTTTTTAAATGGTGGTAAAGATGCATGTCAACAAGATTCTGGTGGTCCTCTAGTATATAATAAAAAATTAATTGGAATTGTATCATGGGGTGATGAATGTGGTAAACCACGTCGTCCTGGTGTCTATACTGATGTTGGATCATTAAGAAATTGGATTGATAAAAATATTCAATTATAATTGAAAATAATTATTGAACAATATAAACGAAATGATTTTTGATTCAATAAAAATAAGAATTAACATCTATGTATGTGTGTAACAATCATATAAATTGTTGTTTTTTCTAAATATGTTCATATATAGTTGTGATCAAACTAAAATTATGTGAGCCAATTTAAAATTGTATATTAAGCGAAGAGAAACATCATATTTAGTGAAATACGAATAGTAAGTATTGCGTAAATGGAATGAGAGTACACAATAAAAGAGTGTAAGAGATAAGCTTCTCAAAATATTGTGATGATAGTATTACTCATTTAGTGTTACCTGCTCGTACAAAAATTATTTGATATTGATTGAGTATATGGTTAAAATGTTGTTGATATCTTGGAATTCAAATATCAGTTTTGCTCACAAACATTTTACTTAAACGATACTGTAACAAAATATAAGATTATGAAAACATTCAAAACACATTCATGCTTTCAACAAATAGAGTACAACTTTGCTTACACAATTTTGAAGCATGAATAAAAGTTTAACGAAAACTTCATTTTATTTTTATTTATTCTCATAATTGTGAAAACGTTAACACATTCATATTATTATCTTATATGAATAGGGCTCATTTATTATGAGGTTCACGAAAGAACACATTATACAAAGAAAGTCTTTATTTAATTCACACATATACCAGGTAAATTAACTTTTCAAGTAGTCTATCTCTTTTGACTTTAATCAAAAAATAAATAAAAAACTGCCTTTAATTTTCTATAGGAGAATTTGATTTCAAAAGGCACAAAATTGTTGGAAAGTTGAACAGAAAAGCAAAACATTAAAAAAAAACTTTTTTTTTACAGAAAGAAAAAGAAACCCCCCTTCCTCTTTCAATCAACACAAAGAAGAAGATTTACAACGACAAAAAAAAAATTATCAAACTTACTTTTCCCTTACTTGAGAACTTGTCCTAAGTTTTATCGAAAATTTGTCGTAATGAAGGGGACCAATAATTCCGTAGAGTCCGTAACTTTCATTTTATTTTAACTTTATTGTTATTACTTACCTCTTATATCCATTGAAAGGTTTTATTTTTTTTTTTGTTTTTTTTTATTATAATACACTGAGAAATTGCTATATAAGAATCCGTCGGCAAATTCCAAATTCAATAAAGTTATTTTTTTTCAAAAGAAAAACAAAAAATAAAATAACAAAGCAACCCCAATAAAAAGTTTTGATTTCGTAATTATTTAAAAGTATGACAAAAGGAAATGGTATTCAAAGAAAAAAATGTGATGTGGTCAACACATGAAACAATTAAGCAATCATAAAAAAAGTGACCAAAACTCTGCAGAAAATTACAAACATATTTCTATTGAAAAGCTATTTTTACCGACAACATTGCATAAGTTAAAGGAGATTATGGAATGCAACCGGATTTCGGATGTCGAGTTTTCAGTAGGGAGGCTTAAATAAACTAGTTTTAGAGAGATGTTGGTCTGCTGGTGTACCTGCCGATCGGTTTGAGTTTGCACTCTTGCATCTCAAGTTCAGCTGAACCGATTTTGATAAAATCTTATATGTGAGTTTATTTTAATCAACTTTTGGTATATTATGTCATTGGGAATTAGCCGTTTTTTCGGGCCGATTTTACATTTTTCAACATATAAAGAAAAATAATCACCCAATTTAGTATTTAAGGTCGGGGTTTATATTTACATAAGGAGCCGATTTTATATTTTTTTCCATATCTACGGAACTAATTTTTAGAATTTCTTTAAATTTAATATTTAGTTGTTATCGAAACTAACTGGCAAGTTTTTTAGAACAAAATTTATCGCAATATATCAATACCTCTCATACTGCATAGTAAGAAGTTGATGAAAAAAGAAAATCACTTTAAATTAAATACCAATAGGACTCACTATACATTTTATCTGAAAAGACGCGTAGAATTCTGAATTAATTAAGGTTTTAACAAGAAGTTTTCCTTCGGTCTCTCTCTTAGAGACCTTAAATTTGCTTTTTTTTATTTTCAGAAAATTAAATAAAACCAGGAAGTTTTCAAAATTCCTTTTTGGTTTTGTATTCTAGGATGTTAAAGAATAATAGTATGGTAAAAGTAAAAACAAAAAATATAAAATAAAATTAAGGATAATTAATTTTTACATCTTTCCTGGTATTGTAATTAGAAATGTAAAATTAATAAGTGAATTTTGTACAGAACAGAACAAAACAAAATAATTTTAACGTGAAGACAAAAATTAATTAATTTATTTCGTGTTAGAAAAGACAAGTAACAAGAAAAAGTTTCCTTAAGGTAAGTAGCCTTGTAATCAGTAAAATTGAAATGGTTTTGTATTATTGAAGCTGCTTAAAAATTTTGCGAATTTTATATGTTTAACAGAAAACTATCATATTATATATTTTATGTAACATGTATGACCAGTGCGAATGTAATTTTTGTAAGTTTTCAAATAAAACGTAAAGGGCAGCATAAAATCTATGTTATTATAAATTGCTAATTTGTTGATTCTAGGCAAAAATGTATTCTTTAACATGATTAATTAATAAAAGGCATCAAGTATTTGTTTGCCTCTTACGAACATAACAATTTGAAATATGAAATTCAATTATTGTTATAAAAACATTTTAGGTGTTTATATAAAAATTTTTATTTTTTAGTCAACATAGAATGTTAATAGCAGAAAATATCAAAGTATTCAGCAATTGCTCTAATTCTGTGTACGTAACTTATCTATGTACATCGCTTTCTACATTGGTTCATAGAGTAAAAATTCAATATTTTGCTTAGTTTCAACCAGTTAATATACTTATGATTATATTTATTCATTTTATTAATTTTTGTATTCAAAGAAAAAGAAGAATCAGTTTTAGTACTCAAAAACAAAAAATAAAATATCAATAATTTGTAATGAATAATTACTAAAATTAATTACACTCCCATATATCACTGCATGAACCTACATAAATCGATTGCAATAAGGAAATGCTATATGGAAAAATTTTAAATTACAAAATAAATGCGCTCATAGGTAAATAGTACAATCATTAATTACACTCGTTCATCGGCATCAGCTGGAATATGTATACTTAGTTTAACATAGTTATAAATCCAAGTTGGATATTATACTTATGTTATATGTATGGGAACTGCAAACATCATCATCGTACTTTGATTATTGTGTTTGTTTTTGTGAGAAAAGGCGTGCCAAGTAATAACATGACAATATTGTAAAAATCTGATAATAAAAAATCTAATAACTTACAGGATATATACAAAGAAACTAAGTACTTACAAGAAATCAATAAAAAAAAGCAAAAATCAATTAAATCAATTTTTGAAGGTGAGGTTACAACAAGTAAGAAGTTTTTAAAGAAATATGAATAAAAATTACATTTATTTTACATTATCATCGGCTCATCGATTCATTAAACAACTTTCTTTATGGAATTGTAAAGTCTTACATTATTCTACAAAAAAGAATATGTATTTTGAATTTTGCAGAATTTGTAAAATTAAAAGCTTCCAAATAACAAGCCATAACTTAACAAGCTTTTAAAATTTAAAGCTTGTAAAGTTAGGGCGAAAAATAGACGTACTTAGTGTCAAAAATAATTATTAGTTTTAATTGTTTACTGAAAACGAGTCGACAAGAGATGTTCGAGCCCTGCTTTTTGTCTGGGAAAACAGAACTAAAGCGGTGAGCGGCAACGCCCGGTGATTTGTGTTGATTATCAGAACAATAACGGATCAATATTTGTCACACATACATAGGAACACATAAAAAATAAAGTTGGGTCAAACCAATGGTTTGTATTGTAGCACTTTTCCCTTCAACAAGTGAAAATTCTGCTTTTAAATACAGTCTATGTATACCTATCACACTATCAAAATTATTTTCATTCATATACAAAACTATTTCTAGGATTGCATATACTTAGGATGACGCATATATGCAGTCTTTGAAATAAAGCAAAAATTAATATAAAAAGGGGTTAACATAATGTTCGATTTTAAGGGTTAATTTTGTGAGTTAAGAAAAATAATTATATTTTTTAATTTCATTGAATTTACCGTTAGCTTTTTGCGTTTATAAAAATTTGGAAAAGCTTGCGGTTTCGGAAATATAAGATGTCAAAAATTCAAATTTTACGAATTTCAAGAGGTGATAACTTGAGAGGGGGTGGAGATGGAAAAAAATTTTCTTCTAACAAAATGAACTATTTGTTAATATCTAAAAGCTCCTAAAATTTCAAGCTTCTACAGTCTGGGGTCTAGAAGAAAAACGACATCAAAAATTTGGAAAAAAAGGACTTTAAATAACGGTAAATTTGAGCGGCCATTTTGTTTTTTTTAAGTTGAACTATAGTATACCACGCAAGGGGAAGCAAGCCACTGCCTTTCTGCGTTTGCAAAATTTCAAAAATGCTTATGGTTTCATTGCAACAAATATTTAAATAAAGTTGGGTCAAACCAATGGTTTGTATTATAGCACTTTTCCCTTCAACAAGGGAAAATTCTGCTTTTAAATACAGTCTATGTATACCTATCATACTATTAAAATTATTTTCATTCATATACAAAACTATTGCTAAGATTGCATATATTTAGGATGACGCATATATGCAGTCTTTGAAATAAAGCAAAAATTAATATAAAAAGGGGTTAACATAATGCTCGATTTTAAAGGTTAATTGTGTGAGATAAGAAAAATAATTATATTTTTTAATTTCATGGAATTTACCGTTAGCTTTTTGTGTTTATAGAAATTTGAAAAAGCTTGCGGTTTCGGAAATATAAGGTGTCAAAAATTTAAATTTTACAAATTTCAAGAGGCGATAACTTGTGAGGGGGTGGAGATGGAAAAAAATTTTCTTCTAATGAAATGAACTTTTTATTAATGTCTAAAAGCCCCTAAAATTTCAAGCTTCTACAAGCTGGGGTCTAGAAGAAAAACGACATCAAAAATTTGGAAAAAAAAAGACTTTAGGTAACGGTAAATTTGAACGGCCATTTTGTTTTTCTAAAGTTTAACCATAGTATACCGGGCTAGGGGAAGCAAGCCGCTGCTTTTATGCGTTTG